GTGTGTGTGTGTGTGTGTGTGTGTGTGTGTGAGAGAGAGAGAGAGAGAGAGAGAGAGAGAGAGAGAGAGAGAGAGAGAGAGAGAGAGAGAGAAATTCCCCAGTGCCTCCAACAGCGATAGGGGCATATCCGGTAGGGGCATGATGCAAATTTGATGTGGGTCCGGTAGGGGCACTACGGAAACATATGAAGCCCAAACGACACCAGGGTTTTATGGAAAATTTGACTTCTGTTCAGAGGGGCGCAACAGGGTCAATCGTTTGTCGGAGGGGCGAGGCACAAATTAATGGAAAATACAGGGGCGCCAGGCAAATTTTCCCAAAAATAAATAAATAAATTAATTAATTAAAAAAAAAAAAATCGGCACTTTGTCAGTACCAACCTTGGTCCACCTCTTTTTTTTTCTTTTTTTAACACCTAGGGGGCTCCATCTATTGGTGGGGAGGATCACCTGCAGGAAAGCGGGTCCAGCGTCCCAAATACAGAATGAAGATGAAAGATGTCAGCAAGGAAGTTTGCCTGCCAGCATTGATTGCTCTGGATTCCAGAGGATTGGCTGAGCAGGTAAAAGGAGAAAAACAGGGGGGGGAACCTCTTGGCCCCATATCAGGCGCCAAGTATCATCTTTAACAACCTAGGGGCTCGTTCGACATGCCTTGGGGCATCCTCGGGCCCCGAGGACGATTCCTTGGAGTCGCCGGAGGAAAATTCCGCCTTCGTTCCACTCATACTTGGAAATGTTCCCCGAGGACGATTCCTCGGGGCATCCTGCGGCCAGTTTCATATATCGACGAGTGGACGCGGGGGGTGGTCGGCGTTTGGTCCATCCTGCATGTCCGTGTGGGTGTGGGTGGTCCAGTGCTGGCGGCGTGCATGACCGGGCTCTGCGGCGGGAAAAAAAAAATGGCACGGAAAAGGCGCGGTGTCCCAGTTCGAAATTTGAATTCGAATTTTTGAGAACAAGCGTGTGCAAGCGTGGGCGTCCCTTGCGGGTGACGACAGCGACGTTGTTCGGCGGTGGCCGTTTCGGATATCGGCGGCGGCGCACTTCTGACGACACGCGGAAAACATGTACGCGTTGGAAGCAGTGGAGACGGCGTGTCACGATCGCGTTCGTCCTCCCGCTTTCGGGAACGTGGATTTCCATCGCCGGTTGCGCTGAGCATTGTCGTCTTCACTGCTCGCAGCGCTGTTTTGCGGCCCGCGTCGCGCTCTGGCGTCTTCTGCACTCCGCGACGGGCGATGGGGGGGGGTTGGACGTGCGGATCCTCGCTGTTGATTCGTGGTCTGCGGTCTTCTGCACTTCGTGACGAGCGGATCCTCGGTAACGTTTACGGCGATGGCGTCGGAGGGGATGGACATGCGTCATGCGCTATCGAAGGCGGAAAGGGCTGCGGTGGCAGCGGCCGTGAGCGCCATCCTCTTTCGGTGCCAGTTGGAGAGGGGCGAGGGGAGGATGAGAGCGGCCATTCGCGTGCGGCGGAAACGGATGTTGCAGTCGCCGTCTGTGGGGGGCGACGAAAACGCTGCCATTCGCGACGCCGTGCTGCAGGTGTGCTACGCCATGGGGTGTGGATCGTTCCCCAGAGCGACGCCCAGATGGTGGATGAAGCGACGTACAGGCGGCACGTGGGAGGATCTCCGGCTATGCGACGACGCGACGACGGACTACTTCAGGGAGAAGCTACGAATGTCGCCACGTGTATTCCGAGAGATAACGGAAGCTCTGTCTCCCTTCCTCGAGCGACGTGTCACTTTCTACAGGGAGCCCCTCCAGCCAGACCAGATTGTCGCCTACGCTTTGTACAGGTGGGCGTCGGGGGAGACATACGAGAGCGGGACATGCAGCTTTGGCATTCGCAGATCTTCTGGGTTGGTGGCGGTGTGGGATGTGACTGCGGCGTTGCTCAGTGCATTCCCTGACAAGATCTCATGGCCGACGGGTCTGCAGAAGGCGGTCGTCTTGCGCGCTTTCGCTGACAAGGGTTTCCCCAGCTGCCATCGACTGCACCCACATCTTCATCGACAAGCCTGCGAATTGCCCCGGGGAGGACTACTATGATAGGAAACGACGTTTCTCCGTGCAGGCACAGGTCGTCGTGGATTTGAACTTGCGCGTGCTGGATGTGTTCGTCGGTTACCTGGGAAGTTGCCACAACGTCAGGATTGTCCATCTGTCCAGTTTATAGGCACGCGCGGAGGCGGGAAAGCTTTTCACCGGCCCACCTGTCATGCTGCCTTTCGGTGTGCGGACGGACGGATATCTGCTGGGGGACAAAGGGTACCCGCACTCCGAATGGGTTGTCGTCCCTTACGGCGGTGTATCCCAAAACCCTGTGGAGATGCGCTTCGATAACAAGCAGAAGACGGCGAGGGGGGCAGTGGAGAGGGCTTTTGGCAGACTTAAGGGGATGTGGAGGTTGTTCCTTCGATCCCACAAGACGAACATGGAGACGTTGCCGCAAGAGTTCGTCGCCGTCTGCATTCTCCACAACATACTCATCGACGCGGGCATCCCGTTCGACGACAATCTGCTCTGGGAGGTCGGGCCGGATGGTGTTCGTCGCAGGGTGGATCTTGGGATGGGTCGTCCCGTGAGGCAGATGTGCATGGAGTCCTTCATAGGGGATGCCCTCATTCTACGTGACGCACTGGCTGAGCGAATGGCGACACAGTGAAGACGGCGAGGCGAGCGGAGGGATCGACCTTGATGGCATGGCTGAGGCGATTAAACGCGGCCGTGTCCCGCGGGGTGGAAGGTAGAAATCGTGGCAGAAGACGCGGGGTGCTCCATGTCGTGCAACGAGTTGTCGCCATTGTGTTTGTCGTCCATCGGTCGGATCTCCCGAGTAGTGTGGCGGTGGTGGGCGTCATAGTTTGGTTGTCTGGGTACGCGGCGGCGTGTGTCGGTAGTTTATTTCGTTGTGTTAGGATCCGAGCGCTATCGAGTGTGTGGCTGTGCTGGGGGTGGACTGCGTTTGTGCAGTCGAAGACGTAGGCGAGGAGGGGCGATGTGAGAAGCGCCCACGTGCAGACAAGTGGTTGTTGTGTAGTGCGCTGTCGCTACGGCGACGTGTGAGGGTGACAGGGTTATCGTGTCGATCTTTGGTCTTAGTTGTGTTTTGGTTGATCTTTTCACCGACATTAATTAATGACCCGTTTCGTTTTTCACGCTCTCTCTCCACGGACGTGGTTTCTTTTTTTTTTTTTTTTTTTTTTTTTTTTTTTTTTTTTTTTTTTTTTTTTTCTTCGACTTTTTTTTTTTTTTTTTTTTTTTTTTTTTCCTCTTTTTTTGTTCTCACGCACAGCGATCTGCTACGTTCCTTATTGTCTGCGGCATGGATGGTGTGCGGCTTGTCTTTCTCCTTCACCAACAACGACATACACACAATTGCAGGACGGGGTTGTCAGTTGTTTGTCATGCCACATTCATTAGTTGCAGTACCAGACCTTGCATGCTCTACACGATCACTATTTCGTGTGTACTACATCCTCCTCTTTTTAAGGTCTCTAAAAGGTCGCAAAACATCAGTAAGAGCGTTGTCAGGCGGCCACAAGCAGTGCGCCGCCTGAAATCTACGGTTTAGGGACTTAGGCTCAAAGACAAGTCCGTGCAATGACGGTACTCTGG